GAGGAAGTTTCCCTCTTATTGCCCAGGCTGGAGCACAGTGGTGTGATCTTGGCTCACTACAGCCTCCGCTTCTCAGGTTCAAGCAATTCTCCTGCCTCAGTCTCTCTAGTAGCTGGGATTACAGGCGTGTGCCACTACGCCTGGCTAATTTTTGTATTTTTACTAGAGACGGGGTTTCACCATGCTGGTCAGTCTGGTCTGAAACTCCTGACCTCTTGATCCTCCCATCTTGGCCTCCCAAAGTGCTGGGATTGCAGGCGTGAGCCACCACGCCTGGCCTGTTTTGCTTTTTGAAGGTTAATCTTTGCTGTTCCTCCTTCTGGTAGTTTCTGTCAGGGTGGGTAGGAGGGAAATAGGGCTTACTGGAGTAAGAAGGTAGAATTTTTTTTTTTAAAGACGTAGTCTCGTTCTGTCACCCAGGCTGAAGTGCAGTGGTGCAATCTTGGCTCACTGCAGCCTCTGCCTCCCGGGTTCAAGCTATTTTTCTGCCTCAGCCTCCTGAGTAGCTGGAATTACAGGTGTGTATCACCACGCCTGGTTAATTTTTGTAATTTCAGTGGAGACGGGGTTTTGCCACATTGGCCAGGCTGATCTCAAACTCCTGACCTCGAGTGATCCACCTGCCTTGGCCTCCAAAGTGCTGGGATTACAGGCGTGAGTCAACAAAAAATTATCTTAAAAAGGACATTAAGGCTGGACGTGGTGGCTCACGCCTGTAATTCCAGCACTTTGGGAGGCCGAGGTGGGTGAATCACCTTAGTTCGGGAGTTAGAGACCAGCCTTACCAACATGGGGAAACCCCGTCTTTAAAAAAAAAAGACAAACATTAAAATGGTTTTTATGGCTGAAAGTTGAGTATGTTAGGAGAACAAGAAAAGGAGAGGAACTAACCAATTGTTCTTTTTTTTTTTTTTAGATAGAATCTCACTCTGTCACCGAGACTAGAGTGCAGTGGCACCATCTTGGCTCACTGCAACCTCCACCTCCTGGGTTCAAGCAGTCCTTCTGCCTTAGCTTCCTGAGTAGTTGGGACTACAGGTGCACACCACCATGCCCAGCTAATTTTTTTTTTTTTGTATTTTTAGTAGGGACAGGGTTTCACTATATCGCCCAAGATGGTCTTAAACTCCTTACCTGAATCGATCCGCCCACCTCAGCCTTCCAAATTGCTGGGATTACAGGCACGAGCCACCACGCCTGGCCCAATTGTTCTAATTTGAATATTGTTCTGGTGCCCTACCATTGGGTGATTCAACCAAGAGAGAAATGTAGAGTATTGGTTATCTCAAGGGAATGAGGTGGGAGTAAGAAAAAAAAGTAGTGAAATGGAAAAATACTAATGATATAAGACATGAAAAGGTGACTCTCAAACTATTCTCATAATATTGCATATATGAATTAATTGCATGTATACGTATAAAGATTAGAAGTTAAGATGGATGGGTGGAAAAATTTGATTTGATGATGAAATTGTGACAATTTTGCTTTTACCTTTTTGTTATCTTAAAATTTTGCAGGTCGGGCACAGTGGCTCACGCCTGTAATCCCAACACTTTGAGAGGCTGAGCTAGGCAGATCATGAGGTCGGGAGTTCGAGACCAGCCTGGCCAACATGGTGAAACCCCGTCTCTACTAAAAATATAGGAAAAAAATAGGTGTGTGTGGTGGCGCGCACCTGTAATCCCACTACTCAAAAGGCTGAGGCAGGAGAATTGTCTGAACCCAGAGGCGGAGGTTGCAGTGAGTTGAGATTGCACCACTGCATTCAAGCCTGAGTGACAGGGCGAGACCCCATCTCAAAAAAAAAACAACAAAAAAAGATTTTGCAATTAGGTATGATTTTTAAAAATTTCAATAGTTTTTGGGGGACAGGTGGTTTTTGGTTACATAGCTCTTTAGTGGTGATTTCTGAGATTCTGGTGCACCCATCACTGAGCAGTGTACACTGCACCCGATATGTCGTCTTTTTTTTTTTTGTCCCCTGAGGGGTTGCACCATTCCTAAAAGTACTGCAGTACGAGTTCGATCCATGGATTGGACAGAGCAAGCTCCTATTCCATCTCCCTGCTCCAAAAATCCGTTTAATATATTGTCCTCAGATAGAGATATTAGATATTAAACTGATAAGAACAGATACTACACTTGATCTTGGCCAAAAGGCTGAGAAGCGATAATGTGTAGTCTTTTATTCCTCACCTCTCTGTGGTTAGGTATTTAATTAAACAAGACCTTATTCTTTTTTTTTTTTTTTTTTGTCTGAGACAGGATCTTGCTCTGTCTCCTAGGCTGGAGTGCAGTGATATTACCTTGGCGGCTCACTGCAACCTCTGCCTCCCGGGTTCAAGCGATTATCCTGCCTTAGCCTCCTAAGTAGTTGGGATTACAGGCATGTGCCACCACACCTAGCTCATTTTTGAATTTTTTTTTTTTTTTGAGATGGACTTTCGCTCTTCTTGCCCAGGCAGGAGTGCAGTGGCGCGATCTTGGCTCACCACAACCTCCGCCTCCGGGGTTCCAGCGATTCTCCTGCCTCAGCCTCCCAAGTAGCTGGGATTACAGGCGCCCACCATGTCTGGCTAATTTTTGTATTTTTAGTAGAGATGGGGTTTCCCTACGTTGGTCAGGCTGGTCTGGAACTCCTGACTTCAGGTAATCTGCCCGTCTCGACTTCCCAAGGTGCTGGGATTACAGAAGTGAGCCACCACACCCAGCCAAGACCTTATTCGTAAGTGTCCTCTGTCTAGGTTTCCCCGTTCTTGCTGACAAACATCACAATGGTTATCTTACTCTACTGTGATCACTGACTCATGGGTCTGCCTCCCTCTTTAGGCCAAGAGCTCTTTGAGGACAGGACTATGACTTACTCAACATCGGTGTTTCATAGCATAGGGCCCAGCATGAAAATGTTCAGTAAATATTGCCACAAATTCATTTGCCTTCAGTAATGGTGCAGTATTTGCCTTGACTGTATTCAGGGTTGACTGATAACATCCCAGGTTGGTGATGAAAAAAGGGGCCGGGTGCAGTGGCTCATGCCTGTAATCCCAGCACTTTGGGAGGCCGAGGTGGGTAGATCCCGTGGTCAGGAGGTCAAGATCATCCTGGTCAACATGGTGAAACCCTGTCTCTACTAAAAATGCAAAAATTAGCTGGGTGTGGTGGCTCGTACCTGTAGTCCCAGCTATTTGGGAGGCTGAAGCAGGAGAATCGCTTGAAGCTGGGAAACAGAGGTTGCAGTGAGCTGAGATCGCACCACTGCCCTCCAGCCTGTCGACAGAGTGAGACTCTATCTCAAAAAAAAAGAACAAGATATTTAAGAACCTTTAAAAAGTCTTTGTGTTGGCCTGGGGTGGTGGCTCATGCCTGTAATCTCAGCACTTTGGGAGGCCAAGATGGACAGATCACTTGAGGTCGGGAATTTGAGACCAGCCTGACCCTGACCAACACAGAGAAACTCCATCTTTACTAAAAATATAAAATTAACTGGACGTGGTAGCACATGCCTCTAATCCCAGCTATTTGGGAGGCTGAGGCAGGGGAATTGCTTGAACCTAGGAGGCGGAGGTTGTGGTGAGCTGAGATTGCGCCATTGCACTCCAGTCTGGGCAAGAAGAGCAAAACTTTGTCTCAAAAAAAAAAAAGTCTTTGTGTTAAATCGGATTTGGATTTAATTAGAATTCCTTATCTGTTACCTTACTATTTTTAAAAACAGTGTTTGGGAATAGAATGGAGAGAAATGTCCAGAAGCAGTTGGTGTGCTTGCAACTGTGCTTTAATCTGAAAGCCTTCAATCAGTGACCAAATAGATTTTGTTCTGTAAAAACTAGAGTGTATATATAAGACAAATGAGTTTGTAATGCAAAGTATGGCTGGGTTTGGTGGCTCACGCCTGTAACCCCAGCATTTTGGGAGACCGGGGCAGGTGGATCTCCTGAGCCCGAGAGTTTGAGACCAGCCTGGGTAACATGGTGAAACCCTATCTCTACCAAAAATACAAAAAAAAAAAAAAAAAAAAATCAGCTGGGCATGGTGGCACATGCCTCTAGTCCCAGCTACTTGGGAGGCTGAGGTGGGAGGAAGGATCGCTTGAGCCCAGGAGGCAGAGGTTGCAGTGACCTGTGGTCGTGCCACCGGACTCCAGTCTGGGTGACAGAATGAGACCCCATCTCAAAACAAAACAAAACAAAAAACCCAAAAAACAAAGTATTTGATAAATAAATCAGCTTTGCGCAATGGCAGTATCATAGCCAATGAGGTTTAACCAAGGTGCGATTACTGCTAATTGAAAACTTTTCCCAATACTCCACCATGACGACTTGAAATATATTCGGCATTGGCAATTTTTGACAATCTCTACAGAGACTGAAAAAAAAAAAGATGAATAAATCATGATTATTTAAAAAATCAAATAAAAAGGAAATATCACAATGATTTCTAACCAGTGTCCTGTATTGAAGAATTGTAATTTTAGGTACTCAATAAAATGAAAAAAAACTTTCAATTATCTGAATCTCTACTGAGCTGAGGAAGTCTCAATCTGAGAATGGGGGAAAACATAGATGTTTAGTTTGGCCTTGTGCCATCTGCAGAAGTCTGCCATGCCTACTTGTAGTTGCAGGGATCTCACTGCCTCAGAAGGAGCCCCTGTGTTGCTGGCTAGTTCTGTTTGTTAGAAAAGTCTTCAGTGGAGGCTGGGCGCGGTGGCTCATGCCTGTAATCCCGGCACTTTGGGAGGCTGAGGCGGATGGATCACCTGAGGTCAGGAGTTCAGAAGCAGCCTGGCCAACATGGCAAAACCCCATCTCTGCTAAAAATACAAAAATTAGTTGGGCATGGCGATGTGCACCTGTAATCCCAGGTGCTCGGAAGGCTGAGACATGAGAATCGCTTGAACCTGGGAGGCAGAGATCGTGCCACTGCACTCCAGCCTAGGCGACAGAGCAAGACTCCGTCTCAAAAAAGAAAAGTCTTTAGTGTGCTGAGCTGAAATCTACCCATTTGGGCCTGTCTGCTCTGTGGTCCTGACACTCTTTCAAATATTGAAAATTATCCATCTTATCCTCTCCTTGGCTTCTTGTTTTCCAGGCTAAACAGCCAACAGGCAGTTGCATATATGTGTATAGAGTCAGAAAGACAGAGAGATGCTGGTTGTGTGAATTTGGGAATTGTTGAGGTCTCAGTAGGCGTGACGGTATTGAGAGAGGCTGAGGGTGTTCAGTGGGCGCACGCGGTGAGAGAAGGGGGATGAGGACAGAACCTTGGGGAGCAATGGCAGTGAATGGGTAGGTGGAAGGATCTGGCCACAAAGGCAGGCTGTGGCAGCAGAGGAGGAGGAAGACCAGGTGGGTGGAGGTGCCTTTCAAGCCAAATCTAATAAGAGTAAGATTTTTAAGGAACCGGGAGTGGCCATCTTTGATAGAGAGAGGCCAAGTAAGATGAAGGCTAAAAGGGGTATTTTGGGATGTGGAAATAAGGAAGTGCTCACACGATGTCATGATTGGGAGTGGGGACAGGGATGTTGTGGTCTGAAACATGGGGATGTGTGTGGCCACCTGAGCCATCATTTCTTCTCTGTTTTTTGAGACAGAGTCTTGCTCTGTCACTCAGGCTGGTGTGCAGTGACCCGATATCGGCTCACTGCAACCTCCACCTCCAGGGTTCAAGTGATTCTCAGTAAATTACTTACTGTCATCCCACCTCCCAAGTAGGTGGGATTACAAGTGTTTGCCACTATGCCTGGCTAATTTTTTGTATTTTTAGTAGAGACAGGGTTTCACATGTTGGCCAAGCTGGTCTCGAACTCCTGACATCAGGTGGTCCATCTGCCTCGGGTGCTGGGATTACGGGAGTGAACCACCATGCCAGGCCCATTTCTTCTCTTGACTGGGGCAATGGTGACTTCTGGCCAGCTCCTCTCAGAATGTCTGCTTGAGAAGAGACAGCGATGGGAGAGAAAGGGAAGGAATGGGGAGAAGATCAAAGGTCGCCAGAGGCGGTTGAGAAATATAGGTACTAGGGGCCTGTTAGGAGGAACAAAAGAGTAACTTTTATTCTAACTTTTCTTTCAAACAATGTCGTTTATCAAGAAAGAAACCACAACTCACCACTGCCAAAATCTTGAGTGATGGGAGAGGAAATGCGTGTGGGTCAAGCGTCTGGGTTATCATCTGGGATGTGTATTTGTTTTCTCTCCTTCATTCCCTTCTCCATGCAAACAGGCAGTTGGCTCTCAGTCATTGCCTGAGTGGAGGCATGCGGCAGAGTTGAAAGCAGCTAAGAAATCTTTCTGGCTTTTGTTTTACAAAATGGATTTTCTTATTTGTTTTTTGGTAAGGAGGCAAAGGGGTTTTGGGCTAACAGACTGCATCTTGAAGAAATTTGGAAAGAAATAGTTTTCTTCAGCTCCCCCCGCTGCAAAAAAAAAAAACAAAAAACCAAAAAACATATCTTGGGTTATGAGATATGGTAGAGAAGATAGAAGAGAGAAGATTGGGCAATGCTAAGGGCAGATGGAACAGAAGCCCTCCTTCTTGGAGTGTCCCGGGGCAGCCAGGTCCTCAGAGAGTGATAGATGTTAGTGTTTGTAGGCAGTCGGGACTGTCTTGCAAAAGATGCCCCCGGGCCTTGGCTGGGGACAGTGGCTCACGCCTGTAATCCCAGCACTTTGGGAGGCTGAGGCAGGCAGATCACTTGAGGTCAGGAGTTCAAGACCAGCCTGGCCAGCATGGTGAAACCCCTGTCTCTACTAAAAATACAAAAATTAGCTTGGCATGCTGGTGGGTGCCTGTAATCCTAGCTACTCAGGAGGCTGAGGCAGGAGAATTGCTTGAAC